ACCATACTGCACATCCTTCCATGACCTTGGAAACGACAGCCCTTTTCCTAACCTCTCTTTCCTGGCCAAAGTCATTGTCCCAGATTGAGGTGTCATTAAGAGGTGGTTTTGGAACAAATTGATAAAATAAACGGTAATAAGTCACCAGGACCAAATGGTATTCACCCAAGAGTTCTGAAGGAACTCACATACGAAATTGCAGGACTACTAACTGTCGTCTGTAACCTATCATTTAAATCAGCTTCTGTACCAAATGACTGGAGGATAGCTAATGTGACACCAATTTTTTAAAAGGGCTTGAGAGAAGACCCCGGCAATTACAGGACGGTAAGCCTGACTTCAGTACTGGGCAAACTGTTTGAAACTACAGTAAAGAACAAAATTGTCAGACACATAGATGAACATAATTTGTCAGGAAATAGTCAACATGGTTTTTGTAAAGGGAAATCATACCTCACCAATTTACTAGAATTCTTTGAGGGGGGGGCAACAGGCATGTGGACAAGCGGGATCCAGTGAATATAGAGTATTTAGATTTTCAAAAAGCCTTTGACAAGGTCCCTCACCAAAGGCTCTTAAGCAAAGTAAGCAGTCATGGGATAAGGGGGAAGGTTCTCTCATGGATTGGTAACTGGTTAAAAGATAGGAAACAAAGGGTAGGAATAAATGGTCAGTTTTCAGAATGGAGAGAGGTAAATAGCTGTGTCCCCCAGGGATCTGTACTGGGCCCAGTCCTATTTAACATATTCATAAATGATCTGGAAAAAGGGGGAAACAGTGAGGTGGCAAAATTTGCAGATGATACAAAACTACTCACAATAGTTAAGTCCCAGGCAGACTGCGAAGAGCTACAAAAGGATCTCTCAAAACTGGGTGACTGGGTAACAAAATGGCAGATGAAATTCAGTGTTGATAAATGAAAAGAAATGCACCTTGGAAAACATAATCCCAACTATACATATAAAATGATGGGGTCTAAATTAGCGGTTACCACTCAAGAAAGATCTTGGAGTCATAGTGAATAGTTCTCTGAAAACATCCACTCAATATGCAGCTGCAGTCAAAAAAGCTAACAGAATGTTGGGAATCATTAAGAAAGGGTTAGATAATAAGACAGAAAATATCATATTGCCTCTATATAAATCCATGTTACTCCCACCCCTTGAATACTGCGTGCAGATGTGGTCGCCCCATCTCAAAAAAGATATATTGGAATTGGAAAAGGTTCAGAAAAGGTCAACAAAAACGATTGGGGTATGGAATGGCTTCCTTATGAGGAGAGATTAATAAGACTGGGACTTTTCAGCTTGGAAAAAAAAGAGACAACTAAGGAGGCATATGGTGGAGGTCTATAAAATCATGACTGGTGTAGAGAAAGTACATAAAGAAGTATTATTTACTCCTTCTCATAACACAAGAACTAGGGGTCACCAAATGAAATTAATAGGCAGCAGGTTCAAAAGAAGCAAAAGGAAGTATTTTTTTTTCACACAATGCACAGTCAACCTGTGGAACTCCTTGCCAGAGGATGTTATGAAGGCCAAGACTATAACAGGTTTCAAAAAAGAACTAGATAAGTTCATGGAGGATAGGTCCATCAATGGCTTTTAGCCAGGATGGGCAGGGATGGTGTCCTAGCCTCTGTTTGCCAGAAGCTGGGAATGGACAACAGGGGATGGATCACTTGATGATTACCTGTTCTGTTCATTCCCTCTGGGGCACCTGGCATTGGCCACTGTCAGAAGACAGGATGCTGGGCTGGATGGACCTTTAGTCTGACCCAGTATGGGTGTTCTTATGTTCTTAGACGGTGATGGTGACCAATATCAATGTCTAACCTCTTAATAACCTGGATTCTTCAAGGAAGAGACATGTCACAGGGACAGCACTGCTAGCACTTGTAAACAGGCTTTTTAGTCTTGAACAGAAAATGAACTGCTGTGCTTCTTCTAGATTAACAATATTTCCATTATGGAGCCATCAGAGGCGTACTAGACTTAGCAAGAGTAAAGGACAAACACCTTTCTGGATCAACCATATTCCTCTTAGGGAGTTCCCAGGAAATATGAAAGGCACTGCTCCTTCACAAGGCCACTCACATGCAGAATACTAAAAGGATTGAGATTTTCATCCCTTTTCAACATACAGTATGAGGACACTTAGAAACATGCAGAAATAGAGACATACAGCTGATTTTTCCTCAGCCTTCATCATCACTAAGATGATCCAGTGCCTGGAAGAAATAACCATGATGCATAAAAAGTAGCTGGCTTATATTCAGACAATGAAAGACAGAACTGATGGTAGAAGAAAGACAAAACTTCAAGAATCTTACTGATACAGGATCCAATTCTCCAAAAAGGCTTGTGTGGAGCAGCCTCACTGACTTTGATAGAGCTTCATGAAGGCACAGAGATCATGGCCATAGTAATCTCACCGGCAATTGACCTCTGATTATACAGATCATGTATGGCCACAAGGGTACCCCAGACTTGCCACTGCCCCTAGACACACAATTGAACAGTGGCAAGAAACACTGTTTTCCATCTCTCTCTTACCAGGAGACTGGGTCTTTTCTTCTTAGATGAGGATCTTTTGCTGTGCTCCAGGAGTCCCCTCTTCTAGGTTAGATCATCTGGAGTATTACCAGGCCCTGGAAGCTACAACCCACACAACATGCAGAAACCTGTCTATCATAACAAATTTTTGGATGAACACATCACACTGGTGCTCTGCACACACAGTTGGCTCCCTGTCTGCTTCCACACCAAATACAAAATCCCAAACCACATAGTCTGGTTTTAACCCACAGAGGGCCATCTCAGGGGCTGACTCACCATCCATGACCCACTGAGCCAGGTGAATTCCACAGGGATTCTATAGAAGCCCAGAGTAAGAATCTCAAGCCTCAGAGCCAGAGTCTTCTCAGCATCAGGGGTCCGGCTGTGGAATGTTTGCTTTTTTTAAATCATAGATCAGAATGAACAGAAATCTGAGCATGCCGAGATCAAAATACAAGACTCACCTTTTCATTACAGCCTGCCCACAGTGACATCTCATCTCTCATGGGCATATTTAATGGAGATGACAGGGGATAAGAGGAGAATAAAAAAAAGTGGGAGAATTAAGAGAAAAGTCTGGGATGAGGGATTGGTAGAGAGCCTACTTCTTCTGGACATAACACCACCTAAACTGTTGTTTGGAGCTTACATTCTATAAGGATAGACAGGCCATGCTATCTCCTTGTAGGACTTGTCTACATGGTGTGGACTAATACTGTGCAGACAAGCATTATGTCTCACACTTCTGTTTACTTAATTGTGGTTTTCAAAAGATGGAAGAATTCAATTGCCTGCCAAACTGGTGGCCTAAAATTCTATATGTGGTTGAAAGTCTCAGGGCTTTGTTTTGGGAAGGGTGGGATGTACATATGCTGATCTGTGTGGCCAGGTGGATGTGTTATCTGAATTGTATTCAGCAAATAAAAAACCTCTGAAATATAACACCATGAACCCATGAGAATATAAGATTTGCAAAACTGTCTGTCATGCACAACTCAGATATTGACCAATATAATGTAATAGAAGTTCAGTTTAAACACTATAGAACACCAGTGCATTGAGGGATTAGTTCAGATGAAAGCAAGTAACTGACAGCAGTGGTCAGAGCAAGCATGGCACAGATAGGCACTGTAGAAGCATTGTTACATGTCATGCCAATTAACCCAAATCCTGACTAGCAACAGCTATGCCATTCTTTTCTAGGTCTTTGCTAAAGTGTCTTTTGCTATATGCTGTATTCTGATGTTGCATGATGAACTGCATCTTATTCTGTGCCATGTTCTGCTATATCAGTTAGTGGTTTATACAGTAAGGTGCACTACAGACTAAAAAGAGGCCAAAACTCAGGTTCTTAGCAGGTTTTATTTGTGTTGCCAAAATGGAAAGTCAGCAAATTAAAATAATCCACTGCACCAAGCTAAATCCAGTTACTAACTAAATATTTTTTCATGCTGTTTAAAAACAAAGCAGTAAGAGCTAGATTTATACTTTAAGAGAACTCAGTCATGTGCAAATACATCAATATTTTTTCATCAGTACTTGCTTAAATTTAAAAATCAGTTAGTTTGGCGGTTCTTCCCCATCTCATTCTAGACACTTATTTTCAAACATGGCTTTATTCAAATAAGTCTCCTAGAAATTCCTGCTACGTCTAGGAAGGCTTTGGCCCTGACAGAGCAAAACACTTAAGCATGTGCTTAGCTTTAAGCATATGCTTAAGTCTCACTGAAGAGAAGTGCTTAGCTGAATAGGTATGAAACTAAACATATGCTTAACTGCTGTGCTTCTTCAGGGACCCAGATCTTACAAACCTAGGACCCAGCTCTGCAACTGGATCTATGCAGCCAGCCTTTGTGCTCATGAGGATCCCCATTCACTTCCATGTGTGTGTAATGGTCCACCTGCAGAGATCTGATAGCAGGATTAGGGCCAAGAATTCCAATTTATTTTTATAAATATTTGAAACTATGTATTACTCAGTCTATAAAGCTAGCTCTTCACTGATATGGCTGCAGCCCATTTGTGTACCACAAGGACTTTCTGATTTCCATTGCCATGTGATGCATAAAAATGCACCAGAAGAAAAACCAAAAACAAGTATTTGTTGATGTGAAGTAGCATCATCCCAGAGAGCCATCCATTAGTAGCTGCTGTAATATGCAAGCTCTATTACCTTCTGGAGCCTGAGACTTTCATTTGTGTCTATATGTTTACATGCTTTAATTAAAAAAAATTAATGGAGATATCCTATCTCCTAGAACTGGAAGGGACCTTGAAAGGTCATCAAGTTCAGTCCCCTGCCTTCACTAGCAGGACCAAGTACTGATTTTGCCCCAGATCCCTAAGTGGCCCCCTCAAGGATTGAACTCACAACCCTGGGTTTAGCAGGCCAATGCTCAAACCACTGAGCTATCCCTCCCCCCTACAAGTTGTTTAACCTTGTAAACAACTCATTTCTCTCTAGTTGATAAATCTTTAGTTAGCATTATAGGATTAGCTAGAAGTGTTGTCTTTGGTTTGGGATCTGAGGTACAACTGACCTATGATAAGTGACTGGTCCCTGGGGACTGGGAGTAACCTGATTATTGTTGTGGCTTTTGGTATAAGGTACCATCTATCATGAAGGCAGTCATGCGTGGGTGGCAAACTAGACCAGGGTGCCCAAGGGGACAGTCTGAGTCCATGTTAAGGCTGTTGTAGGGCTTTAGGAGTTCACACTTGTTCCTTGGTTGGTAAAATCTAATTATAGAACATTACCAATTACTTTTTTGACTGAGGGTTTTGTTTGTTTTCTGAAAAATGCAGCTACGGTGACACCAGAACTTTTCACAAACTCATGCTAATTTCACTAAACTGGTTAGGTCAAAAAAAATCCCCCCCAAAATAAATCAAAGTGTTTCATTTCAACATTTTTGAATGGAAGGGTTTCCATTTGAAGTGACTTTTTGCTACAAAATTTTATTTAAAAATTATCTAAAACATTTAAAATGGTCAACTTGAAAATGATCCATTTGAAAATGCCTAAATGAAATGTTTCAGTCTAGTAGTAATTGATGACTTTTCAAGTCACCACATTTTGAAAGATTGTGTTTCATTTTATATCATTTTCCCCCCCATTTAGGAATTGCCAGTCAGCTGAAAAAAATCTATTATTCACACAGTTCTACCTAGAAGCCTCAGTCATGGACCAGGGCGCCATTGTGCGACGTGCTGTACAAACACAGCCCAAAAAGACAATCCCTGCCCCAAAAGGGCTTACAACTTAAGTAACTCCCAGATGATCCTGCAACCTCAACTCAAATTATTGGGAGAACTTGTGTGTAATGTTACTCATGTGAACAAGTGTTTGCAGGATTAAGGCCTAGATTACACTGTGACAAGTTACCCCCCTCAGCCGGGGTGCCACCTGATGTCCTGAGGTACCACTGAGCCCGCCTGTTCCACCAGCCTGGACTTCCTCACGCTGTCCTGCTGAGCCAAGACTTCAAGCCTCCTCCAGCACACACTCAGCTGCAGAAAGACAGAGACACTGAAATCAGGTCTGCATGAGAAGACTCAGCTAGGGAATTTCCCCACACTCAAATGCACACCTCCTCTGGAGTGTAAACCCAATATTGTATTGTCTTGTGCTGCACAGAAAACTGTACAACGTATGCTCATGAAATTCACTCTCTCCCTCAATGTGGAGGAAGATATGCACAGCTTCACCCCCCGCAACCCCCGCCCCCGAGTTATGGATTCCACAAACTGGGTTTAGAAAAAACAAAAACAAGTTTATTAGCTACAAAAGGTAGATTTTAAGTGATTATAAGGGATAGCAAACAGATCAAAGCAGATTACTGAACAAATAAAACAAACACACAAACTAAGCTTAATACATTAAAGAGACTGGCTACAAGTAGTAATTTCTCACCCTAAATGTTGTTTTAGGCATTTCTTTCACAGGCCAGACACCTTCTCCAGCCTGGGCTCAGTCCTTCTCTCCCCTGCCCCCTTTCTCCTTGTTTCTTAGATGTTTCCAGCAGTCATCCTGGGCGGGGATTCAGTGAAGAATGAACCAAGATTAACTCACTTCCCTGCTTTAATTAGGATTTACATATGGTGGGAATCCTTTGTTTCCCAGTTTGATCCCCACCCCCTATTAGTGGAAAAATACTAGTAGTCCAAGATGGAATCCAGTACCAGGTGACATGATCACATGACCCTGCAGTGTCAAAGCAGCCAGGAGTCAAAGGTTGTTTGCAGCATCCCAGGAAGCTTCTCAGGAAGGTGGGAGATTAGCATCTTCAAAGTCCTATTGTTCCCCCTAATGGCCCATCCAAGCTGATTGCATTTTGTCTGGTGGGTGTTCCACAGGTGTAAACACAGTTGTAATAGGTACATAGACAATATTCCCAACTTCAGATACAAATAGGATAATCATAGTCAATACATCATAACCTTTCCAATGATACCTCACACGATCCATCTTGCATAAAACATATCTTAGTTATGGCATATTTATATCATAACAATATCTCTGAAGAACATAGGGCATAGTGCCACAGACAAAACATAAAGAACATTCTAGGCTCTGATGCTATATCATGTTTCAGAGCATTTGGATGTCAATTTAATTTTCACCAGAGTTCTGCAATACTCATGTTGTAAGGCCCCTTCAGGTTAGTAGATAGGATCCTAAATAAGTCTCCTCAAAATAGAGGCTTCACAATGTGTTTACAAATATGTTTGTGAAATATCTGAGTGAAAAATCACAAGTTATACTTAATAAATACTCAGGGTGCGAAGTGCATTGTAAAAAAAAAGTGCTGCTCAAATGAATGACAAAAAGATTGATTTGTAGATTTCTTTGTACACCAGATTTGCAAACTGTGAGACCGATCCTTCTCCCACTGAGGTCAAATGGAATTTTTCCAGTGACTTCAGTAGGAGGAGGACCTGGTTCTTAATGCACAAAAGAAAGGCTGTTTTAATAAATTGTGTGTGTGTGTGTGTAGAAGAGATACTACACATATAGATGCAAAAACAAAACAAGCAACTAGCTAAAGGCAGGTAGCAAACAATATATTCAATAACAGCTATCAGAATCCCAACAAAGGCAGCCAGGGCCAATGGTCAGAGCAAGGGCAAACCTGAGGCTGGGGAGTAGCAGAGTAGTTCATAGTCAGGTCCAGACCAGGGTCCATACCAAGGGTCAGAGTCCAAGTCAGACTTCAGGATCTGAGTCAAGAGGCAAAGTCCAGATCAAGCCAGGGATGTAAGAGCAATCATTACAACTGCAGAAAATCCACACTGTTACCTGGACACTTCCTGAACTGCCCCTTGAGTTTATATAGGGCAGGGAGTCAATCAGGAGCCAGGGTGCTTCTGTCTGTCAAACCCCTGAGGCAGAACTTCCAATGGCCTGTGTCTACAGAGGGTCATGGGAATTTGCATGCAAGCTACCTGTAGTTGCTGCTGGGTGGCAGCCTAAAGCTATCTACTGCCTCCTACTAGGCCTGGGTTCTAGACCAAGGGTGTTATTACAACGTGAGTATTTAAGAATTCTGTTCAAAATTAAATTGATACTCAAATGCTCTGAAATATGCTGTAGCATCAAAGCCTAGAACTTGCCTTTCCCTATGTCTGTGTAATTTAGGCCTTGATGCTGCAAACAATTAAGCATATAAGTACTCCCACTAAACTCAATGCAACTACTCAGACTGTAAAGTTACTCATGTTTTTGTAGAGTCGGAGCATTAAACTGTAGGTTTGTTGGGAGAGGCACCATGCTTTTATTCTTGTAAAGCATCATGCAAACTTACAACATAAATATGATATAATGTTAATAAGCACTGCCATTTAATAATTATAGAAACACGTACCTGCAAAAGGCTTCTAAATTTACATCAGAGCAAAAGTACACTACTTGAACATAAGGCTCCAATTTGTATCAAAGGTGTGACTTAGTTTCAAACTAAACTTTGATGAGACAAAGTATCTGATTCTCATTTATACAAAGGCCACTTTATGTCTCTCTATTGCAGTGTAATTATCATTTACTCCCACTTTAAGACCCCGTGCCACTTTAAGACAGTGCCAAAGCAGTATCAAATGGCCTCAGAGAAAATAAGAATCAGGACCCAAATGTTTTATCTTGACTTAATGATATAATGTTTTATCAGCAATATTTAAAAAATTAACTCTCTGTGTAAGTCCATTGTTTGAGGACATTTCAGATGAGTAAGCAGTAGCTATGTCAGCTACTAGCTAGTGATCTTTTTTTTGACACCCTTCCCCAAGTGAATTGCATAGACAAACATACTCTGTTTGAACAAGACCAATGACAGCAAAATTGCTTGCTTGTCTCTAAAAAGACTCTAATAATGTGCATCAAGGGAGAGACCCATGGTCTGACAGACTTTTTTCCCCCCAGTGTAAAACATAAAAAAACCCATTTCAATAGCAAGGAAAAATCAGTTTAAAGTGCAGCCCCAGTTAATTATATCCAAAAGAGTAATAATAAAATAAACTATTAAATTTTAGAACTTCCTCTTTAAAGTATTAAGCATTTGGCAACTGTGATGTAGTTAAATAGCATGCTGAAAAATGGACTCAATCACTTGATAGTGAGGTACCAGTCAATTACACGTGGACTGTATTTGAATACCAGTACACCTATTTCAAATCATACTTAGAATAGGTAGTTTTTATTGGGTTAGCTTTAGCTACATATTTATGGCTTTTTAATTCTTAAATTAAAATTAACTCTCATTCATCTGCAAACAGGAAATACCTCAGTCTGGTCACAGCTCTGCAAAGCAGCAGTCTCTGCTGTGGTGTGTTTAGCTAAACAGAAATTAAAATGTGAAGGTGGCTTGCTGGCTCCTCACGTAACACAGGAGAGGCCAGAAAACTTACCGCTGTTTTTAAAAACAGCAGTTCAATTCCTGGCACAAACACTGAGGCTAGTTTAAAAACTCCAGTGGCTGAAAAGATGCTAGATTGTGGGCCCACTGTAGCTCAGAGCTGTGGGGAAACTTGCTTTGATATCACTTTTGTAAACAGCGAAGGCCAAGGGACGGAATGAAAAATGGAGAAGAGATGTGAATAAAGGTCATTACGGAGGAATGTTCTGCCCTTTTCACTCAGCTACTTTAAATATTTGTTCAAAGTTTCAAATGTAAAGGTCATTTAATTTGAATAAAGGGACATTATAAAAAGCTCTTTAATGCACAATACTGCACTGTTATATAGCCATTAAACACTAATAATAGCCTAGGGCCAGCTCACCCCCTCCCAGGGTAAAACATGTTGGGGGAAGGGGTTGCCCTAGCCCCCCAAACCCAGTAGATCCCAAGGAGCCCTCAAGAAACCAAGGCCATCTACACAGGACTCTGGGGTTCCACGCCAGCTCTGGAACCACAGAAACCCCTCCAGTCCACAGCAGCAGGCTCCCTGTGTGTCACATTACCAAGCAGCAGCTGCCCCTGTGTTCCCTGTAAAGAGGGGTTCCCCACTATAATGTCCTATGCCGTATAACCTTTCCTTCCTGATCACTGAGAGAAATGTACATCCCATTGCCCCCAGCCCTAGCCAGCCAAGACTCACCTACTGCTTGCTCAACCCCCTCTCTCCATGTGGAGTCTGACCCTGAAGGATCTTGCCTTCGGCTACATACAGCGGGCCTGGTGCTGATTGCCACAGATTCCTGATTTATTACATCATTGTGAATCAAGGCCAGTATTTTTATTTCAGCTCAGCTTGAGGTTCATGGCACTATGATGTGTGGTCATGTGACAGCAGATTTTAGAATTGTGAGAAAGCAGGGCAGGCACTGAAGGGAGCAACTATCCCAGGGCTGACAGCTCTTTAAAGGGGAAACACAGTTAGTGCCATGGACGTAGAAGACAGAAGATCTGCCCCTCCTATTTATTAGGTAACAACCCATTGTCCAAGGGACTTTTGATTCCCTCAAATCCTTCCTCAGAACTCATTCCTTTTCAGCAGCTTTAGATCACTGATCTCAGCTCCCATGCCCTCTGCTCTTGCTCCCATGAATTTGCACATGTAAAATGCAAACACATATAGAACAAAGCAAGATGAATATGAAGCAGAAAAATTAAATGCTCTAAACTCCAAAAGCAAATCAATTTCCCTCTTATTTTCTGTGACCTCCTTTCACCCTCTCATCTGTTGTCATTGCCCTGGATGTTATCAATCTTTTCTCACTATCAGGCCTCCAGTGTGCAGACCTTGTCTTTCTACTTCTCTGTACGATGCCAGGCACATACATGGTGCTATATAAATAAGAATATCCAAGGCCCATGGGAGTTGGTTCAACAGAAGTGCCCAATCTCTCTGCATGAGATAAAGTGACACCCTAACTTGTGTCAGGACTGCTGGCCATATTTAGGCCTGCACAATAACTATGTCATCCAGACTGCTTGATAAGGACTTCAGTAGCCTCACCTATTAGTGCTTGGCTACTGAAAGGGGATGACCTACAAAGAAGGGGGAGACACACTTTA